GACTTAAAGACCATTTCATCAATTGAATTTCACATTTCTTAAATAGAGTGGTGCAGTGACGCGTCCTAAAACCCAGAAGCAAACTCCTTCCAGTTCCCTCGACAAAAACCAATGCAATGTCTCCATAGGATTTTGGAAAATAGCTGGAAATAAGGTCTGTGGTTGAAACACATTTAAGAGACTGGTCACGTTTTGTTCAGCCGGATAATCTCCACATGTCCTACTTTTATAATTTTCTAATCATAAATCTAGTCGCCAGAAGCAAAATACTAACGTTATGCTATAAAGGAACTACAGCAGGGTCGCTGCTTCAACGTCACGCCAACTTAAGATCCATATTCAAACACACAGATTCTAAATGGTACGAGTTGAAGCGTTTGTTTGAACAGTCTGCAGGAGGCAGGGACTTGCTTTCAAGCAGAACAGGGCAAACAAACTTAGAGGAGTGTTTACGTGTTCGGTGTAATGACGTACAACGGCCTCCACGACTTCTGTAGTCCTATTCAGCCACTTGGTAACAACCATCGTTTTTCAGACACGTCAACTCTTCAGAAATCACCAGTGGGGTCACTGCTGATGGATTTAATGTCGTAGAACAAAACGTGATCCGTCTCTTAAATGTGTCTCAACCACAGACCTTAGTTCCAGATATTTTCCAGAATCCTATGGAGAGATCCCATTGGCTCTGAGACGAGGGAACAGGAAGTGGTGAAATGGTAACTCACTTCCTGGTTTTAGGACGTGTCACTGTGGCACTCTATTCTGTGATATTGTCTCAATAATGATCAGATTACTTTAAGCATTGTTTAAGAAATACAGCCATTGTTTAAAGGTTAAAACGTGTTACACTAAATATGTTACTTATCAAAGATAAAACGTGTGAATCCACCAGTTTGACCCTTTTTATCACTCTTGTTGCACTAAATTCTCAAATATCAGCCAGAAATCTGTTTCAGTAACATTACAACTCTTCCTCCTATTGATTTGTCATGTTTTCTTCCTGCTTGTCATTATTTGAAATCTGGTTTCTATTTGATAATTAAGGATAAAGTCTCAGCCTGGCTTTATTAAAGCGTAGAGCAGCTAGCTGGCTCAGGGCAGACACACACTACCAGCTGACGGACGTCACAATGTGTAACTGAGGAAATATCAGGAGCATCATTCTGACATACAAGTTGTTTTCTGGCAAAGCTGCAACGCCAAAAACCAATTTGACTTACCTGACTGTTACCAAAACACTACTGCAGCCTACATACTTGATATCTGATGGAAGTCATTGGGAAGTTTTCATTTTGTCTGGGGGATCAAGTCTGTGTTTCGAGTCAATTTTATTTGAAACTAGAAACTTCTTTTTTGGAGGGAAACATGTTTTTTTTATTTTCGGATAACCGCCCAATTTCTTCACGATGTGAGACAGGTTTATGATTTTAGCTTGTGGTTATTTATTGTTCAATGATGACATCACTCATCCGTCTTTGTTTGGTTTCATACTATCAGATATATCAGGAAAAAACAAAACAAGTATTGATAACCAGTTGATATCAAGAGAGTCAGAAAGTGTCCATTATGGCAACAAATTGAAATGCACGAACATTAGCAGGAATGTGTGGTTATTAACATGTTTTAATGACCTGAATAAGAAAAGGGTTAGAAAAACTCGCCGTCACTGAACATTTGTTAAAAACAATTATTAAGAACAACTCAGTAACAATGTTTTAAATGTTGACTTTATTTGATCATTTTAAAACAGTAATTAGCGAACTGTTGATAGTGGTCCCTTTGGTTTATAATATTTTTGAAAGCTTAAAACCTAAAAGCAAGTTTCAGCATGAGATGGACTTGATAAGTCTTTATAAGCACCGTAACTTCCATGATCTGTGTCACGAATAGTTGTGTTTGTGGCATTGTGGGACAGGATTATTATTTCCTAAAGCATGATCCAGTGTATCCTAAAGGAGATATCAAAGGAAGCATTGAAGCTCCTTTTCTTATCATTTAGTCAAAGTCAACTTTATTGTCAATCTCAAAATATGTTTGTACTCACAGGAAGATCGAAATACTGTTTCCCACAATCCCGAGGGACAAAATAACACGTTCAAATAAAAGAACATCACGTTACATGTTACATGTTAGACGATTTTATTCAAAGCGACTCACATACTCAATACTGTGGGCAATCCCCACAGGAGCCATTTGGGGTGAAGTGTCTCAGGGACACAACGACATGCTGACTGCAGTGGGGTTTGAACCTGTGACCCCCTGATCCCAACACCAAGGCTCTATCCACTGTGCCACACGCCCCCATCAGCACACTCAATAAGGACAAAAAAACACAAAATAACCGTTTACTTCAAAAATAACCGTTTACAGAATTCAAGCCGCTCTCATGGTGTTTGCCTTTGCTGCTCAGCCAGAGAAACTCAGGTGATGATTGGGTGGTGCAGAGAGGAGCTGGTGTAGTGTGTGTCTGGCCTAACAGACTCCCCCCTGCTGTGTGCGGCGCCCCCCTTTAGGCCTGTCAGAGAAGAGCGTAGAGAAGATTGTAGCTAAGCAGGCAGCGATAGGCTGGTCGGCTGCTCTCTGTCCAATAACTCACTGCTTTGGACCAGAGCTGGAGATGGCACTGAACACCGAGCAGGAGGAGAAGAGGCTGCTGAGGGAGCAGATCCACGCCCTGGAGGTACACACACACACACACACACACGAACACACAGAACACACAGAACACACACAGAACACACAGAACACACAGAACACACACAGACACACACACACACACACACACACACACACACAGTACATGAACAGAACACACACACACAGTACATAAACAGAAAACACACACACACACACACACACACACACACACAACACACAGAACACACAGAACACACACACACGCACGCGCGCGCACAGAACACACACACACACACACACACACACACACAGTACATGAACAGAACACACAGAGTACACACAGTTGATGAACAGAACACACACACACACACACACACACACACACACACACACACACACACACACACACACACACACACACACACACACAGACAGTACATGAACAGAACACACGTAAACCACACACACGCACAGAACACACCACTGTATTGATCACACATCTACTCGCTCTTTACTTCAGCTGCTATAAAACAAGTCCACAGAAAACCAGACAACACTCGATCTACACAACTACACTCTCACGGAGCCCATTAGAAAACATCAACAGGCTATTTACAAAAAATGATTAGCTAACAAACTAAATGAGTTATCCTTGATATTTTTATTTTAATATATCCTATGTACTTCGATTTTAGTTTATTTTTTTAACATTCATAGTTTTTTATTGGCCAAAATTGTATTTCTTTTTATTTGTTTGTTTTGAATGTGAAACATTTTGGGGCTACACGTCTTCAGGAAAGATGCTTTGTAATTAAATCAAGTTAAAATATATCACATTTGACTTATATTACTACATTCATTCAGAAAATGCAGCCTTAAGCGAAAAGCGATGTAGATTAGCTCTAATTTCTCTACAAATTATCCAACAATTCCTGAAGTCCATGTTTTCTCATATTTTCCCCAGACTGGTGCTTTGGTCAAGTATTTAAATGACCAACAGCTATTTATATATAAAATAAAAGGTTTCTAGAAATGTGGTATACCTCCAACAATCAGAGAGTACTGCTACTTCAAGTTTGTGGGAAATCTGTACTTTCTGGAGTTCAATGTGCCTCTCCCAAAAACACCAGAGAAAGGCCTGTGTGTGTTTTGTAGTGTAGATTTAAATGCTTGTTTATATGTGTAAACAAAAACCGTTTCTCTGTTGTTCTCTTGACTCTGAAACTATACCAACACATTTCCTCCTGTCTGCCTTCAGGCGTCCAAACAGGCAGAAATCACCAAACTGCAGGAAGACATAACAAAGGTGAATTATCAGGCAGCATGATCGATTGATGAACTGAATTGAGCTACTGGATTGACTCCTGGCTAATTGGAGACTGATTACAACTCAACGAGTCAATATCAGAAGTTTATCATAATGTTAAAGAAGGTAATGTAACGCTTTTGACTTCCTGCCTGTCTCTTCTCCAGCTGACTGACAAGTTAAAGAAGAAGCAGGAGAGGTGAGACACCTTTTAGAGTTTGACTGATAATCACATCTGCTCGTCATCAAATCTGTAAATGCAAACTTATTTTTCTTCTGTAACGTCAGAGAAGGTTGAATTCACAGCAGAGTGTTTTGAATTATAATTAAATGAGATGTGTATCTACCACTCCTGTTTAATTCCTCTCGGTGGCTTTCAAGTTAAATATAGAAGCGTTGTAAAAGTCAGACTGAATGAAATGAACTTAAAGCAGATGTTTATCTGATTGAATTCCAGTCTGAACAGATAAGATAATGAATAAAACACTGCTGGATTATAACGTGTGCTTCTCTCTTGTAGTTTTCAGCGTCTGCAGGGAGAGAAGGAGGCTCTGTACAACGACAGCAGGTCAGAACTGAGATTATAATACTACTAATATTATTACTACTACTGCTACTACTACCACTACTACTACTGCTACTGCTATAGGGATGTAACGATACCAAAAACTCACGGTACGATAATATCGCAATAACAAGTCCACGGTACGGTATTTATCGCGATATTGAATAATAAAGGGAAGACATTTTTTTTTCATAAATATTTTTTTTTCAATAAATTTTTTTTTTATTACATAATAAATCGGATTTTTACAGCATTTTTGTAGGATAGCAGTATTTTAAAGTGTCAAAAACAAAGTGACAGTAACAGACTGGAACAAGAAAACCAGTGTTTTCGTACCTACTAGTACTACCAAACAAAGTAAGCATTTTCTTTATGCCACTGCATCTCACAAGTAAACAAGGACATTTAATAATCAGACCCTGCAATAAAATAAATCAAGTTTCACTTTAGCTTTTCAAGTAACTCAACTCAAACTCACTAGTCACTCACTCAGCACCATCAGACAGGTTTTTAGGAATATGAGAATGTCCACATTTCCAGGTATTTATAAGCTGGGATGTTTGGGCATTGACAATATCCCCTGCTCTGGAAAAAACTCTCTCGCTTGGTACT